TTTGCGATCGTCAGACAAACTGATTAATTTTTTTTAATTTTGAATTTATGTAGATTTGGTGTATTAGTGTTGCCAAAAATCATACTAATGATTATTTCTCACGTTTACGTAGATCTTTCTTCACGCAGTGACCACAATTCCATATTTTTTCCCCAGCTGGTACATCATATGTGTGCATTTTCTGATATATCTTGTGTTCTCTGTTTGGGACTTAGCAGCAACACGTACAGCAAAGACAACATACAATAATAATTTGTTGTAATGTTGTCTTTGTTCAACATGGTCGACATTTAGCAAGGCCATAGTTAGAGAGAGTATCGAAGGAACAGCTCTTTGGAACAGACTCCCAAGTAGGAGGCTTCCCCGATCACTACCTGTTCAAGTTTAGAGTCAACCCCTTAACTCAGTGGTTCCCAAACAGCGCGCCTCATAGATGCGACGGAAGAGGATAGCTGGTGAGGCGGAAGAGGATAGCAGGCGAGGCGGAAGAGGATAGCAGGTGAGGCGGAAGAGGATAGCAGGTGAGGCAGAAGAAGATAGCAGATGAGGCGGAAGAGGATAGCAAGTGCGACGGACGAGGATAACAGGTGATGCGGAATAGGATAGCAGATGAAGTGGAAGAGGATAGCAGGTGAGGCGAAAGAGGATAGCAGGTAAGGCGGAAGAGGATAGCAGGTGAAGCGAAAGAGGATAGAAAGTGAAGCGGTCGAGGATAACAGGTGAGGCGGAAGAGGATAGCAGGTGAGGCGGAATGATTGAAAGACAACGATATACAAACAGTTTTAAAATAATGTTCTGACTTCGAATCCGCGGTTATCTCCCTAGAACCCGCTCTTTGGGGCTTTTCTGCAATAGAGCTGCTTGCGCTTTTTCAGCGGGACTTCCCTTTCGTGAGGCGCGAGCAAATTTTCATCCCGAAAATGCGGTGTAGAGAAAAAACGTTAAGGAGCCACTACCTTAATGTAACTCTCTACCTCGAGTGGCCCCCGGGCCTTGTTCGGGGTGAACCTTACTGCAAAATATAAAAATAATCCTGCACTAATGTGATTACTTGCCATATTTATAAGTAGGAACAGTCCATTGTCAAAACAGTAGGGAAGAGCAGGAAATACACTGAGTCCTCCTCTACAACATAATTATAATCTTGAAAAAAAAATCTGAAAAAAATATCCCAAATCCACCGACCTTTCAACCGTGAGATCGCTTGAAGATAATTACATATGCAAATTACTAACTTCCCGCCTCGGGGGAATTAGCAGAATGACAAGAGAGTTCCATAAGATTTATACGAAACTATTTGATTAATTGCTCTTACTAACTATGCAACTAACGGAAAATTTCAAGATGAGTACACCCCATCATGTTACTTACGTTTCAGTTGCATTCCATTCACGCTCACTGCGCTTCGCGAGGTTTGACGCGTTGATTACCAGTACAACTGTTTTTCTCAAGACAAGCGATGTTTTAAAATATTTTTATACTTGTATACAATGTTTAAACATAAACTGAAAAACACAGACTTCCTCCTGATATACTGTTAAACACTGTCTTTATTTTTATCTTCTCAAACCGTTCTGTTCTCTAAGTGTTGCAAAATATTAGAAGAGCTACGTTGATCATTTTGTTTAATAATAATAATAATAATAATAATAATAATAATAATCCTTTGAGAGTTTTCTATCAACAAAGATCGATCGTTACTAGGAAATCACCCAGACATTATTATCGAACACATAAAAATAAAGGAGTTCACACTGATTAACATGAGCGTGCCGAGTGGCAAAAACATCTTTGCAAATACACCTGCAAAGGCCTGGAGATAGAAATAGAAAAAAATGTCGCACTTAAAACCTTTGTGGTTGGAGCTTTGGGTTTGATAAAGAAAGGAACTCAACAAGAAATTAACAAAATCCGTCGTGCAACATCTCTCTAGGGAATCCCTAAAAATATATCTAACAAGCCTAAGTTATTTCTTTTTGTTGTTTGTTTCTGTTAATACCATATATTTGTTTATTAAGTGGAAACAACAAAAGATCAAATCATTGGTTTGAACTATGAACCTGCATGGGATTTTTAAACCAAATGCAGGTTAAAGACATTTTTTAAATAATAGTAATTACAGAATTGATAAATACAAATGTTATTATTATAAAATAGAAGAATTTCACAGATATTGGAATGTCATTTGGAAATTATTCCAAAATTTTCAAAATGATTTAGAGTCATTCCAAAATGATTGTCTACACGAAACAGCAAGCATACTTGGAAAAATTTTGGATAAAGTCGATGAAAAGAACAAATTTCCGGTTTATTTTCTTAAGTCACGAAAGATGAACTGTAAATAAACTTCTTTTTTTTTACCAGTAACCAACTTCATTTGCTTTTCATGAGAATAAAAGAAAACATTACAATCTGTGGCATAAAAGAGTTTTCATTAACAAGCCTAACATACAAAGGAAGAAAAAAAAGAACTCTGAAAGTAATTTTCTTAATAGAATTCACCACAAGCAAAGAAGTAAAATCACTAAGACACAAGGAGTTACTGGGTCTAAAAGAATTAGAAAAGAGAAATATTATTAAGGAGCGAGAACAATAGAAAAGTGATCGGA